AGAGTGTACAGACAGACAGTACAGTACTTAAGTATGATTCTGGCTTAGCACCATCTCAGACCCTAACTATAGTTTAAAGGGGAATGTACTCATATATGATTCAGAGCCTAATTCATATTTTACAGAAGCAAAGGGAAGAATCTCAGGGAAGAGACAGATTTAACAATTGTGATATCAGGGGATACTGGCAGAAGCTGTTAATGCATCTGTTATATCTGTGTGCTTCTATACAAATGTAACAAAGCAGCTCCAACTTCAACCTTACTCCACTCAGGGTCAAAGTTGGGGTGAATCAGCTAACTTGTATTGCTATAGGATCATGCCCTAACAGTTGGATCATAACAGCTCATGTGCACTCCCAAGCAACAGCTGTCTTTCTCCTTTTTAAAGCAGCTGAATAGTTTATTTGTCCAGTCCACGGTGGATTTTGGATCAGGCACCATTTTACTCACTGATGATGCAGAATACAGCTTTGAGATTTAACAGCAAGTATCATGGTAAAAGTATGATGTGGTCAAGTCCTGATGGACACCTGAAATATGCATAGTGAAATGACAATATCTCTGATATAGTTGCCTTTTATTTCCTTTCCGGTAACTAACATTGTAGTCTCTTATTGGTGGGAATTCTTCCAAGGAATACCAGTTTTCACTTGACTAGGTCACACCAGATCCTGCCATATGAACTTGAAAGCGGGTAGGTGTCCCACTTTATTCACCTCCAAAGATCTCAAATGCAGAAAGCAAAACAAGACGCAAAGGCTAAACAAGAGATACAGAAATTATAGATGGTGCAAATGAATAAAAAAGACAATGTTAAAAAGGTACAGATGGAATATTAAAACAGGGGACAGAGAGTTCCCAAGCAGACATACATGTACAACTGTCTGCATTTGATTGCTTATTTGCCATGGATGCCTGTACAAATCATAGACATAAATGCACAAAGGTCAGTTAAGTACTTAGCTCATTGTTCACACAAATAATAAGTTTATGCATGCTTTTACTAACTGTATGTGAAAATGCAATAGCACATGTCAGTGGGACTCCATCTTTTTTTAAACCTGTGGCCAGAGGGAAAAATATAAGCAGGGATTGGATGGCTCAAGTGATTTTTGTCAATGGGTAAAGACTACTGAATATTGAAAAAGTTATATTAATTCAGAAATGTTCAGATGGATGTGTTTTAATTATAGTCCTATAGTGTTCATGTATGCCTTTCAGAAATAATGATGTGAATGCTGGCCTGGCAGCAATGTTCTCCAGCAAAGCCAATTTTAAGTAGATTGCAAGAATAATCATAAAAAGCAGGTTTCATGTCAATGTCAGCAAATCTGTGTACCAGAAAGATGATTCTAAGTGGCACATTCATCTTATCAGGAGGACAGATAGGAATGGAGTTCAGACTAGTGCCTCAGATGGCCCCTTCTTCCAAAAGGTCAGGCTCAACCTGTCTTCTGATGATGTTATTTTCTCAGCAGAGTTTAGCCTTGACTCAAGCTCAGATTCATGTTCTCATTTGGCTCTTGGAATGCCAATGTATGTTCTTATTTCTGATTTTGTAGGATAAGAATTGACACCATTGAATTCCCCAATACTGCTATATCCCTCATCCCTGGGACTGGAATAAAACTAACCATTGAAAATGCTTATGTAATCATCAAGGCCAACTGGAACATAAGGAGCTGGATGTTGTAAGTATGCTACTGTGCATCTCGGGTGTTTTCTGATAGAAAAAGAATTAAAAGAGAAAATAGGAGATCTACTTACTAATTTCACTTATGCAGGGTTCAGATGCTCTATACCAGAGGTGCTCAACCCCCAGTCGAAAGGCCAAATCTGTTCCCCAGTGCTATGTCATCTAGCCCACAGGGCTTCCCAAGGATCTGTAGGGAACCCTGCAGACCATGGTCCTGTGTGCTAGATCAGGCATGCAGGGTGGCATGGGGCCTGCTCCTGACACAGGGGGGCTGGGCAGGGGCAATCCAGAGCCCCTGGAGCCCAGTTCTGGTTGAGCAAAGGTGATGCAGAGCCCCCAGTCATGGCACATGGGGGCCAGGTAGGGAAAGCACAGAGCCCCAGGGCCCAGTCCCATGTACAGGGGATGGTACAGGGCCTGGTCTAGCCCCACACCATTCATCTGGCCTGTGGAACCCAAACTGGGAGCACAACTGATCTATACCAGTTAACAGCAGCCACTTGTGAGCACAGGCCCTTCTTTCTCAAAGAGAAAGACATTCCATGTTGTAGACTACAGTAAGCCCTAAGCTGCTTACTGGCAACATGGTATGACATACCCAAAGTTAGTATAAGAGAAGAGGCGAAGGAAATGAGCAAGCAAGAGAACGTTAGAAGTGAGAGTGACTGCAGGAAATTCCAGAACAACAGGTTAGAAGAAGTGGG